AGTTGTCCAGCTCATTTCTTTCTGTTTTTTGAGTAGAGACGGGGTCTCGCTCTTGCTCAGGCTGGCCTCCACCTCCTGGCCTCGAGCGATCCTCCCGCCTCGGCCTCCCTCCCAAGTAGCTGGGACCACAGGCATGCGCCACCACGCCCGGCTGAATTTTTTCTATATATAAATATTTTTTAGTTGTCCAGCTCATTTATTTCTGTTTTTTGAGTAATGCCGGGGTCTCGCTCTTGCTCAGGCTGGTTTTGAACTCCTGACCTCGAGCGATCCTCGTGCCTCAGCCTCCTCCGGAGTATTTGGGACTGCAGGCATGCGCCTCCACGCCCAGCTTGTTTTTTCTATATATAAATATTTTTTAGTTGTCCCGCTCATTTCTTTCTATTTTTAGTAGAGATGGGGTCTCGCTCTTGCTCTGGCTGGCCTCCAACTCCTGGCCTCGAGTGAGCCTCCTGCCTCGGCCTCCCATAGTGTTGGGATTATAGGCATGAGCCACTGCACCCGGCTAATTTTTTCCATATATATTAGTTGGCCAATTAATATCTTTCTATTTATAGTAGAGACGGGGTCTCAATCTTGCTCAGGCTGGCCTCGACCTCCTGACCTCGAGCGATCCTCCTGCCTCGGCCTCCCTCCCGAGTAGCTGGGACGACAGGCATGCGCCTCCACGCCCGGCTCATGTTTTCTACATATTTTTAGTTGTCCCACTCATTTATTTTCTATTTTTTTAGTAGAGACGGGGTCTCGCTCTTGCTCAGGCTGGCCTCCACCTCCTGACCTCCATTGAGTGATCCTCCCTCCTCGGCCTCCCGGAGTGCCGGGATGACAGGCCTGAGCCTCCGCGTCCGGCCCGGGGCGACTGTTTCAGCCGGGACCCGGGGCGGCCCCGGCTTTGGGGCCGAGGACGCAAGAGAGACGCCACCCGTTCCCGGCCACGGCGGCTTCCCCGGTCAAGCACGCCGTGGAGACAGGAGCGACGCACACACAGGGGTTTATTTCGGGGCCGCGCGGGCGGAGGCACCCAGACGGGGCCCGCTCGGGTCGCCCCGGGCCCGAGCCCCCTGCTCTTCCCGCTCGGTGGCCCTGTCGCGGAGCCACCGGGGCCCCGGCGGTCACGTGAAGAAGTACAGCATCTCCTCCTGGGCCTTGTCCAGCAGGTCGTGCTCCGAGGCCGCCTTCGTCTTGACGGCCGGAGGCCGGGCGCGGCACAGCAGCTTCCGGCCCCTCTGCGGGGACAAGGGGACAAGGGTCCGCTCGGCCGCTGTCCCCTCCGCCCGGGCCCGGGGTCCGGCCCTGGGTCCCCCTGAGTGACCGGGGGGCCCCGTCCAAGACTGGCCACCCGTCAGCTGCTGTCGCCCGGGCCGGGCTGGGCCGGACGTGGGGGGCACGGGCGGGGGGTCCCCGGGAGTGGGGTGACGGGGACAGAGACGGGACGCACGGTGGGAAGGACCGTCTGGCCAGGAGAGAGGGCCCCGGCCTCGCTGGGCTGGTCTGCCGTCGTTTTCGGGGGGGCACTGGGGCCGGGGTGGGGCGTTGGGGACAGAAAGGGAGGTTGATGTCGGGGGGTGTCCCCATCGCTTGGGAGTGGCTCGGCCTGGGGTCTGCTTCGGGCGGAGGTGGAGAAGAGAGGGGCACCCGGGGCTGAGCGTATGCAGCCAGGCTGGGGTGTGGCGGGAACTTGTGTTGGCGGGGAGATTTGGCAGAAGGGGACTTGTGTGTTGGCGGGGGGATCTGGCCGAAGAGATGGGGACTTGTGTGTTGGCGGGGGCACCTGGCACAGGGTAGCGGGGCTGGAGAAGAGAGGGGACCCCCGGCTGAGCGCAACTAGCCAGGGTGGGCTTTGGCGGGGACTTGTCTATTGGCAGGGGTACCTGGCACAAGGAACGGGGCGGCCCGGGAGTGGAGGTTGACAGGGGGGACCCAGAGCTTGAGCACAGGTGGCCAGGGTGGGCTTTGGCGGGGACTTGTGTGTTGGCGGGGGGACCTGGCACAGGGGAGAGGAGGTGAAGCGGGGGGACCCTAGGTTGACCGTATCCAGCCAGGGTGGGCTTTGGCGGGGACTTGTGTGTTGGAGGGCGAATCTGGCACCAGAGACGGGGATTTCTGTGTTGGCAGGGCCACCTGGCACAGGGGAGTGGAGGTGGAGAAGAGAGGGGACCCGCGGTTGAGCACAACTAGCCAGAGTGGGCTTTGGCGGGGACTTATGTGTTGGCGGGGGGACCTGGCACAGGGGAGCAGAGGTGGAGAGTGGGGACTCAGGGCTGAGCGCAGCTACCCAGGGTGGGCTTTGGTGGGGACTTGTGTGTTGGCAGGGGGACCTGGCACAGGGGAGTGAAGGTGGAGAAGAAGGGAGACCCGGGGTTGAGCGCAACTAGCCAAAGTGGGCTTTGGCGGGGACTTGTGTGTTGGCAGGGGGACCTGGCACAAGGGACTGGGCGGCCTGGGAGTGGAGGTGGAGGGGGGACCCAGGGCTGAGCATAACTAGCCAGGATGGGCTTTCGCGGGGACTTGTGTGTTGGCGGGGGGATCTGGAACCAGAGACGGGGACTTGTTTGTTGGTGGGGGCACCTGGCAAGGGGAGCAGAGGTGGAGATAGGGGACCCAGGACTTAAGGGCAGGTGGCCACGGTGGGCTTTGGCGGGGACTTGTGTGTTGGTGGGGGCACCTGGCACAGGGTAGTGGAAGTGGAGAGAGGGGACCTGGGACTGAGCGTATCCATCCAGGGTAGGCTTTGGCGGGGACTTGTGTGTTGGTGGGGGGATCTCGCACAAGGGACGGGGACTTGTGTGTTGGTGGGGGGATCTCACACAAGGGACGGGGATTTGTGTGTTGGTGGGGGGATCTCACACAAGGGACGAGGACTTGTGTGTTGGTGGGGGGATCTCGCACAAGGGACGGGGACTTGTGTGTTGGTGGCGCAATCTGGCACCAGAGATGGAGACTTGTGTGTCGGTGGGGCGATCTGGCACCAGAGACAGGGACTTGTGTGTTGGCGGGGGGATCTGGCACCAGAGACAAGGACTTTGTGTCGGCGGGGCGATCTGGCACCAGAGACGGGGACTTGTGTGTCAGTGGGGTGATCTGGCACCAGAGATGGGGACTTGTGTGTTGGCCTGAGGACCTGGCACAAGGTATGGGGACTTGTGTGTTGGCGGGGGGACCTGGCCCAGGAGAAGGGGCCTGAGAGGGGGCGGCCCGGCTTCTCCGTTCAAGCTGAGTGTCAGGATGTCCCCGCCCCCTTTCCCGCAGCCCCGCCCCCACAGCCCTGCCCCTGACTCGCCCCGCCCGCCCCCTTCCCGCAAGCCGCCTCCCCCTTTCCCGAGCCCCCTGACCCCACCATACCCGCCCCTACCCGCCTACCCGCCCTTTCCCTCGGCCCGCCCATGGTTCTGCCCTGGTCTGCCCCTGGCCCGGCCCCTGGCCGCGGCCCGCCCCTGGACCCGCACGCCCCTTCCCCACATCCCGCCCCTTCCCCGGCCCTGCCTGCCCTGCTGACCCCGCCCCCTTGGCCCGAGCCCCGCCCCCCTGACCCCGCCCCCTGGCCCGCAGCCCCGCCCTGACCCGCCCCCTGCCTTGGCCCGCCCCACCTTTTCTTGATCTCGGCCTTGGCGCGGGCCTGCAGTGCCGCGCCGCAAGCGTCCTCTGCAGCTGGCTTCTGCATCGGGCCTTTCCTCCGCTGGTCTGGGCGGGGGGGCGGAGGTGGCGCTCAGGAGGGCAGGGCCCTCCCCTCCCT